CCCCCCCCCCCCCCCCGTAAAACCCTCCATCCTAATAAGATCCTTGGTAGTTTTCTCATTCTTGTGGAACAATGGGTCACTAAATATCTTACTCCCACCGTTCTTTAACAACAACTACGTTTATTCTATCATTATCCTTCATTCGTAAATGTTACTGAGTACATAATACTTTTAAACATTAACGTAGCTATTGTAGTTTTTTCCCTTGACTGCTTACAGATTACTTTATAATAGGGTTGATGTTGCGTACCCCTCCCCCCCCCCCCCCCCCCCAAAAAAAAAGCCAACCTTGTTGGGATTATACTGGGTTTATTGTTGTTGTTTATAATATGCTACATTCAAAGAAGGAAGGTTTGGCATGTTTGAAATTCCCAGGATACCCTTGTTTTCCATTGATTAATCGTTTTTATCGTACAGAATACATTGTAGAAATTTTCTAGCCATCTCTGATTTTGTGATTTCAACTTCAGATCAACTACTGCTGCATACTGAAACAAGGAGAGCATGACAGAGGGAAGACCGGCTTGCAGTTTAGCTTTTCTTCATCCTTCTAGAAACCGGAAAATTTATATCCGGCTACTTGAATTTTATACTGGTACACATTCTCAAGGTAAATTTCAGTCCATTTTCACCATCCCTGTGTGTGGGGTCAACATTTTTACAGCTTTGGGTCTGTAACCGAAAGATTTACGTCCATGGATGATCCAATTTCGCAGGGAATAAAGTTAGACTTGAGTATGAACATGATTTCCTCATCGTTGAAGCAAATTTGATTTTGTTCGTTGTGTTGATAGTTTTTAAGTATGATCAAGACTACGGCATACTTGGCAGTTGATAAATAGATCAAAACGTGTAGTAAATGTGTCAATTTTAGTAAGCATATTTGTCGTTCGCACTGGGGATAGCAAATTCGATATAAATTGAGCTCAAAGCAATGATAAGAATACCAGTTGAAGGTTGAAAACATGAGTTAGGCATGAAAGATTGTAGTGTTTAGGCCAAAGTGACATTGTCTTTCTATCTTTTGAGTTGAACCAAATGGTAATTCTATTTCTCATTACAAACCAAACACATTTTCAATCTATCATGCCTAACTCACATGTTCTCAACCTTATTCCTAATTCAAAATTGATACATGAACATTGACCAAAGATTCATAGGGCGGACCAAAGATTCATAGGGTGGCCTGGGGGTGGAGAGTTTGCGGGAGCACTACGGAGGGAAGGAACCCATTCTAAGTCGAACAGAGCACCGTAGGGTTCCTAAATGTACCGGTGTCATATTATGACACCCAAGGGTGTTATAAATTTTGTGATACTTCCTTCGTCCTTAAATGGATTGCTCCTTTGAATTATGTGCAAAATTTTACGTCTTTTAAATTTATTTTATTTATAAATTAGTATGAAATAAAAAATAATAAATTTTATGCAGTTAAAAATTACTCCATTTGTCTACAAACTATTTTCCATTGGGTACATTGTACTGGGATGTTCTAGGGGTAGGGATAGGAAGAGTAGAGCTCTAATGTCAATTTTTTACTCCCTTGGTCTCAAATTTAATTGTCTATCTATTATTTTCATGGTCAAATTTTATTCATATTCTTTTTTATTATCATTAGTCATGTGATAAAATGATATAGTCGTGTCATTACTAGTTTTGTACTACCTCCGTCCCATTTTATAACGCATGTTTCGGTTTACGATGTTTGACTGAAATTATTTTCAAACCATTTTATATGACAAATGGTATAGAATTAAAAAATAAAAATTACATATTAAAAAACTACATCAAAAGATCTACAAAACTAGTAGTGACAATAATATTTTATTTTATCAAATTGCTAACGAAAATAGAGAAAGAAAGTGAATGAAATTTGACCATGTGAATAGTGAACAGACATTATAATTTGGGACGGAGGGAGTAGATCTTTTGATATCATTTTTAAATAAGACAAATGTTGCCCGTAGATTGCATTTTCAAAAGGCTAACGGTAACTTCTAACGTTATTCCCAAACAGGCCTAACTACATTGTATAATATCATGTTTGTTTTGTTTTTAATCCATCACAATTTATCATGATTATTTTTCTTTAAAGAAAAGATGGTACGAGTATAACTCAAAGTGATTCTATAAAGTCTTTATTATCCCATTTTTATTTTATTTATCTACATGCCATGAATTCCGTGAAACTCTAAAGTTAAGTACAAACACTGCAATAAAATTTTTATATACATTTTTAAAAGTGTAGATCAACATTTAGAAATGTTAAAAGATGATTCATTGGATAAAACGCAAAGGTTAAAGTTCAACCTATCACCCTTTACAAATTCATGTTCATGGTTCATCAAACTCACGATTGAAGGGGATTGTGTAGCACTCATTTCGAAACTCAAGAAGAGGGAAACACCACCCTCTTACTTAGTGCTAGTTTTGAAATATACTCTTAAAAAAATGTAAGTCTAAAATCTAAATTGTTTTAGCTTTAGGCATATTAGAAGATGTGGTAATACTATAGCTGACTAGTTTTTAACCCGTATGATGCACGGTAAGAATATTATAATATAAAGTAGTTTGATTATGTGAAATAGTCTTCCCAGTATTTACTATTACGTCCATTATGTAAGTAGGTTTATAGATTGTATAACTTGGGTTATTTTTCAATTGTACACTTGCGAGGCATGGGAAAAAATTTATGAAAATATAAAATTATAAATATAAAAAATGTTTTATTACTAACTTATTTACTTCCCAATCAATACTTGCATCAATGTTATCAATGATAAATTGCATGTTTATGAAGTACTCCGTATTAGGTTATAATATGATTAAACCTTAGAATGAAGAGAAATAAATTTAATATTCAAATAATAAGTTTAATATTCACATAATAGAAAAATGTGTTCCAAATAATCATTAAAGCTAAAAACCAACTTGTTAGCAAAAAGACTCATTAGTCATTTTGTGAGTTGTGTAGTTCATGACATTCCAACAACACAATCTAATCAAGCCTTTGTTGCCCAAGGCAATCATGTTTTAACATCGTCATGTCTCATACATTTTGTATCAGAAGGATTCTACCGTTAAAATAATCCGAGGGAAAGAAATACAAAGAAGGAATCGTTTACATGGTACGGAGGATATATTATGTACACCTGCATTAAATAAGAGGTCGGAGTGAGTTATCAAATACTCGTATTGATTTTTTTTCATTTATATTTGCATCCTGGCTAACAAGAAGCTACGTGATCTCCTTATGACCATGATCTACTCTCAACTGCAATGGAGTGCAACCCTTACCATATGAAATGGTGTCACCATATCTGCTACTGTAGTAAAAAATAAAGGAAGAAACGGTTTCAGTGCAACGATTGCGGGGAAGATTTAAAAAAAATATTCTCTCCGTCCACAAATAAACTTTACGTTCACTATTCACAGGGTCAAACGTCATTCACTTTGTTGGCTTATTTTCGTCACTCATTTGATAAAATAATACTCCCTCCGTCCCTAAATATTCACAACATTTGCTTTTTCAGCAGTGTCGAGAACTTTTGTTTATTTCGACGTTTTCATAGATTATTTGATAAAATAAAATATTCTTGACACCTCTTATTTCGAAGAACTTTTCATGTAGTTTTTTATATGTAAATTTTATTTTTTATTTCTTTACCAATATGTAAATAAAACGAATTGAAAAAACTTGATATTTTACCTCGAGAATACAAATGTAGCAAATAATTTGGAACGGAGGGAGTATAGTCATGTCACCACTAGTTTTGTACTACCTCCGTCCCATTTTATAACACCTATTTCGGTTTACGATGTTTGACTGAAATTATTTTCAAACCATTTTATATGACAAATGGTATAGAATTAAAACATAAAAATTACATATTAAAATACTACATCAAAAGATCTACAAAACTAGTAGTGACAAGAATATTTTATTTTATCAAATTACTAACGAAAATAGAGAAAGAAAGTGAATGAAATTTGACCCTGTGAATAGTAAACATGCATTATAATTTAGGACAGAGGGAGTAGATCTTTTGATATAGTTTTTTAAAATGATTTGAAAATAACTTCAGTCAAACATCGTAACGCGTAACGTAAAGTTTATTTGTTGACAGAAGGAGTACATGAATAGCCCATGTGTGAACTATATAGTACAGAGTGGTACATTATTTTTCGATATTTCTTTTGGGATTACAATTGTTTAGAATTTCTAAGCACGGAACAGCAACAAGAGTCTTTGCATCAACTACAACTAGAATCTTCTCTACATATATAGCATCCAACCCTACATCTTTTTCTTAAATATGTTCATTAGATGAGGTGGCATCTCCAACCAACTAACATATTTACAGAAAAAACATACGAAGTACTATACATTAATGACTAAATGTATATTGAACTCAAGATGCATAATAGTTCTTGGTGCTAATGTATATTGTTCGGTTTGGTTTAATAAAAATATCTAATTGAAAATAACAAATAGTCTAATTGAAACATGTGTATGAAGCATAATCAAAAAGCACAAAACAATGCCATTGAGGCCGTATTCCGTTCGCCTGAGTTTTGAAAATCTGATCTGATCTGATCCGGTCTAATCTTATTGCAGTTATAATTAAAGATGTTTATGCTGATTATAATAAAAATAAGAAATAAGCAGAAAAAATAAGTTGAACAGAATGTTGTCTGAATCTGAAACTTTTGTATTCAGAATCATCCATCGTTTGAGAAGTTCAGAATTTGAAAAATGAATCAGAAAAAAAAGAATTTAAAATCCCAAATTTTTATAAGCATATTCAAAATGACAAAACATGAAAAATTGAATAAGGGAAAATTGAATCCAAAATCATCTCTTGTTCTAGAAGGTTAAGGTTTAAGAAAAGAATTCAAAAGAAAATGAGATCAAGAAGAGAAATTACCACTAAAAGGTGATAGGCAAGTACTGCTTCATGTCTTCAATTGTAGCAAAAATCGAAACGGAAGGGTCTAAAGAGGAGAAGCCATGAGTAGGTGCTGAAGAATCACTTTCGACTGAAGATGACACTATTGCCACTGGAAAGATCTGCTACAGGGAAAGGATAACTACATCACGTATGACATTTTTTTACACAGGAATAAATCATCAACTCTCAAATTACCTATGTGACATGAAAAACATATACATACAAAGAATTTGAACTAGACAATATTTTGGGTGATGAAGCAATTGTGTGCTGACAAACAATTTTCTCAAAATGACGTGTTTTGGTATATAGTATGAATCAAATATAAGAAGTACTGATGATAAAAAAATCATGAAGAGACATGGAGAGAGACAAAGAGATTGTACCAAATATATCAGCCATAAAACGTCATATCTTGTAATTATCTCTCAAACAAAGAAAGAGTTGACAAATGTTGTCTCGTGTATAGCCTTGTATATGAGAAACGAAAGGAAAAAGAAAAGAAAGAACGAAAGCGAGAATCAAATACAACTATTATAAACTACAAAGTTAATGTTCTATAAAAAATCCAATATGTTTATTATATTATACAACAAATTTTGTAGATATGCATGCATCAACTTGTTTGCCTCAAGTGAGTGTAGTTTTATTGGTCCCGCTCAAATGATTTCATTTAATGGCTTTAGTTAACATTGTGCATTCATCAGGACTTCACAAAAAGGTGACCTCATGTACACACAATCTTAAATGAACATTAAAAGGTCTCCCTCCAACTCGCAAAACATTTCCCCTTTCATTCAAATTTTTATTGTCCCAAACAACTTTTCATTGTCATGAATAGACATAAATGCCCTTACTTTTCCTAACTCTAACCTACCTATACTTCCTTCTATGCCCTATGTGCCTACCTGTTTTATCACTTCTCAAACCCTAATCATTTTAATTGTCATCATTTCACCTTGGTCAAACGTCTACAGCTTCTTCTCCTTAAAGTCAAAATAGGAAATATTTGCAAGAGGGAGGAAGTATTTGAAACTTGCAAATGCAAAATAAGATTAAAGAGAAACGAAGAAAAAACAAAATTCATCCCACATGACTATTACATGTCACTAATCTATATGCTTTAGAAAATGAAGTATAATTCTATTTTGTGTTGTGTGTATTACATTACCTGTATACGTGTTTGTTTAATATGTATAATCAAAGAATCAACTTTCACCATCTCAAAATTACAAAGCCACATAAAAGACATAATAAAGAGAAAATGAAAAAAGTTTACATTGAAAGAACTCTATCATTAAAGAGTGATGTAAACTTCCACATAGTGAAACATAGTGGTTTCCTTATAATCCAATTAATTAATATGTACTTCTTTCAAAAGCCTGCTACATCCCCGGTTTTAATGAAACAAAAAGTAAATTGAATAATCCAACAATAGACCATTAACTATTTTCACTAAGAAATCTTAGAAAGTCAGTGAAATAATATATCTATGGATACATTAAGAAAATTGATTTAAAGCATTGAATTTAAAAAGGGGGGAGATTATCGGCTTAACGGAGTTCCCTCTGATTTTTTCGGACTTTGATGCAAGACTAATCTACTATTTTGATGCACCGTTATTTTGTTTGTATTTGAGACAGAAAACAACATCTTCCCTATGTGGATTTTGAGAGACTGGTGTGGATGCATAGGTTAGATTCTTCTCATTCTTGATCAAATTCACCTGATAGGGCGAGTACAGAGAGAGAATAAGTCGAAGATGCAATGACATTAGCAATGAGGACATATGTCTTACCTGTAGAAGTTGAGATGCCCTTCTTCCGTAATATCATTGAATCGGTTCCCCTATGTTGCATCATCGTTTATAGATATTGTCTGGAATTCTGGATTTAATTGTCAATTGTGGTAGGGTCAAAACCCTAGCATGTCGTTGTCAGCATTGTCATCATTGTTACTCCCTCTCTCTGGAATTTGACGGAAGAAGAAAACCTCTCTCGAATCGGACAGAAGAGATCGTAGGAGATCCAGAGCTTTAGAGATCATGTCTGCCACTGTTGCTAATCGTGCATGAGATTGTGGGAGGTTGGGTACAGTATAATCGTCTAACTGTTCCCGCACAATTTTTCCTGCTGTTGTTTTAAATAGGAGGATTCTCTAGCAAAATCAAAACCTCAATAGTACTGTAGATTTTGACTAGAGGACGGTCCCGAAGAGGCTTTGCAACTGGTTGAGAGGAATTTATGTAACATATTAAGCAATGCTGAATGGGTAATAGGATGTTTTTTTTTATTAATATCGCAGACGACTACCTACAGATCTCGTCCGAAGATGAATTGCCAGACATCGATCTCTTTGTCCGAAGATGAATTGCCGGAAATCAATCTCTTTGTTCTTGAGGCTGCACAAGGCACTAATCTCCCAGGTCTTTCAGCTCCCCCTGTTTTAACAATAGGCTTCGATGACATCCTTCAAAGTTGTTCCCCTCTGCTTCAGAGATGTCCTGGACTTGTATTGAACTTAGATGCCGGATCGAAGAATGTCTGGAGCAAGAGGTTCGATTGGCTTTTTCAAAAGAAAATCCTTAGCGATGAACCTCTAGACATTCGTTGATCCGGTACCCAAGTTCAATATAAGTCCAAAACATCTCTGGAGCTAAGAACAGATCAAAGAGAATGATCTATCATATATAACTCACTATTTGAAATTCATTAAAAAAACTCACTCTAAAACCTAATAAATACGAGAATATTTTAAATTCTTACCAAACGAGCAGAGAGAAACAGCTTTAAAGGAGTGTAATCTAAGCCCATTGTTTGTTAAAATAGGGGGAGGAGCTAAAGAGACTGGAGATCAAGATATTAGTGCCTTGTGCAAGCTCAGGAACAAAGAGATTGATGTCCGGCAATTCATCTTTGGGCCACATCTGTAGGTAGTCGTCCGCCATATTGTCGCTCCCCATTCGCAACCTTATCCCTGGAATGAAACTCAACATCATCCTCATCAATGGCATTCCATTCACAAAACCCCCTCAATTCATCTCCCATTTCTAGCCCCCTTTTCCTCATCTCCTTCAAAACCACCTTCACATCTTCGTACCTCCTCCGTCGAATCATCTTCCTCCCCAATTCCCCAAAATTCGCGCTGTACAATTGCTCGTCTCTCCCTGCACACGCCATTACATACTGAAATGCCTGCTTGTGGAAGCCCAACCGCACCATTGCCCCAATCACATGAGCATGAGTCGAATACAGCGGTGCAATCCCTTCCTCCTTCATTCTTCTCAAAACCTTCAGTGCTGAATCTACTTTCCCCACCCTGCACGCGCCCAAAACCAGCGCGTCATAGGTCCTGTCGTCCGGTTCCACCTTCTCCTCCGCCAAATTTGTTAGAATTCCGGCAGCCTTCTCCAGATCTCCGACGCAGCAGTATCCGGTGAGCAAGTAATTGTAGGTTGTGATGTCCGGCCGGACACTCAAGGCCTTCATCGCCCCAACTACGCGCCAGGCCTCCTCGAAATTCCTCCTCTTTGTGTGCTCTATGAGTATAGGGTGGAACGTGGTGGAGCTCGAACAGAATCCACTACGCACGGCGGTCTCCGCCACGCGCAGGGCCTGTGGCGTGTGCCGGAGCCTCGAGAGGCGAGCGATGAGGCAATTGTGTGCGCTCTCCCGGGCGAATCGATGATTGATGCCGGCGAGGGCGGCTAGGAGATCGTCGAGCATGGAGATGTCATTCCAGATGAACTTGAAGGTCCGGCAGGTGTTGAAAAGGCCGTCTCTGCCACGCTTCTCGAGGAGACGTTTGACGGTGTCGAAGTCTCCTTCCCGGCCGGCGCTGTCAATGAGCTTGTCGTACTTCGACATGCTCGGGGTCTCCGCCGGCGTGGTGGCGCCGAGCGAGATTTGGGTGGACAAAGCGCGCGAAAATGGTGAAGATTTAGGGGTTTCCCAGAGAAGACGCCGGAGAAGCATCCCGGCTAGGGTTTTAGAAGAAAAGGCTTAGAATTCAAAAGGTCAAAATAGTTTGTAGGCAATAGAGGAATGGAAAATGGTTAAGAGGCACCAAGCCTCCCTCCAAACATGCCACCATATATATTTAAATTTTATATATTTTTTTTAAATTTTCTTAGATTTTTCATCTCCTGCTGAACAAATTCTCAATTCTCTCTCCATTCTCCCGCTTCAACCTTCACAATCTCCCAATTCCCAAATTTTCCTCTTTTTTCCTAAATTTGGCTTGTGTTCGTGTGATTGTTCATATTGTAGAATTTCGAATCCCAATTCCCAAATTTTCCCAATTCCCAATTCCCAAATTGTCCGCTCGACCTCCAGCGACCTGTCCCCATCCCTCCACCTCCAGCGCCAGCCCCTCCACCTCCAGCGACGTAATCGCCGGCAAAATCCCCAACCCTCCACCTCCAGCGACTTGTCCACACCATCCACCTACAGCGCCGGCAGTCCCAACCCTCTACCTCCAGCTCCGGCAGCCCCATACTCTAGCAGAACAAGAACGCAGGTATGGTCTAGTTATGGATCAATTTACTTTGTTTGTTCGAGATCCCAAGTTATGGATCAATTTTTTCTAGGCTTATTAGTTAATACTCTTGTACAATCCCCCCCACCCAAAGACTCAAAAGATATGGGGGCAGTTGTTCTTGGCAATGGTTTTAATGAAAACAATTATAGTAATTTGGGTATTGTTTTCTTTCAAAAATCAAAATTGCCCTCAAACAATGCTCGTAGTGTTAAATTATTGCACGTGCATATGAAAGCTATTTATTGTCATAAATTCCTTTCTCCTATGATAGTGTCTTCTTTTTTTTCCCTTTAACCGGCCCTGCAGTGGTAGCAAAATCTATGGCACTTGCTTGTTATTTTTGCTTACTTTGTAAATTGTATGTCACAGATGGTTAAGTTCTGTTATTTAAACTTCATATAACATTATTGTCTGTGAAAGAGGTCGGCTTGTTATTTTTGCTTGCTTTCTGTGAATTGTATGTCATAGACGATTAACTTCTGTTTATTGACTTCATATATGATTATTGTCTGTGTAAATATTTAACTTGTGTAAATTGAACTTCATTTCAAACAATGTCTTCGCACGGTTAATGGTGTGTGTCCAAACAGTTTGGAGAAGAAATGGGAAACAATTGGTGTCAATTGTATTCCGCAACAGGACTCTAGGTTTGTTCGCCATTACTTCGTTATGCTACTCCCATGGACGGGTGAAAATCATACCCCCTACTTATTTTAATACTATTTTACCTTGCAGGTATGACAATTGTGGAGTGATGGTGCTTGCATTTCTAGAGTCTTTGTTGGTTGGCTTACCATTAAGTCCGGACTGTAGTTCTGAACACATGACTGATTTCCGATGTCAATTTGCAGCTAAGTTATGGCGTGGAAGGAAAACAACCAATATTTAGTTTTTTTACTTTACATTTTAGGGGTCTTTAATTTTTGTGAAACTCTTTGTAATTGTTTTTGTGTTTTGTAATGTATTTTTTGGGGAAACACTTTACATTTTTTTTGAAACCTTTGTAATGGGGCTTTTATCATCATGAATTTCTACTTGTTAATGCACAATTTGTTACTGTGTGTGATGACTTATTTACCTTAGTTTATGACTGGATTACAAATTTACTTTCAGAGCCCTCACAGAGAATAACTGTCTAATTTACCCGTTACACAGAGTTTTAATGTGTCATGACAGAGTTACATAACGTTATGCACTTTACATTTTTTGAAAGCTTTGTAATGGGGCTTTTATCATCATGAATTTCTACTTGTTAATGCACATTTTGTTATTGTGTGTGATGGCTGATTTACATTAGTTTATGACTGGATTATAGATTTACTTTCAAAGCCCTCACAGAGAATAACTGTCTATTTTACCCGTTACATAGAGATTTAATGTATGTGACGACAGAGTTACATAACATTGTGCACATACACCATCTTCAGAATTCTAAAAAATGAGAGCAAAATTCTAGATTTGATGCAAAAAAAGATCTGTTAAAAGTCAATGTAGTGAAAGACCAAGCTCCAGACCTCCCAAGGTGAGGTCGTAACACAAGCTCCAGACCTCCCAAGGTGCGTGTGCCGATTATGGGGTCTAACACAAGTGTAGTGCTTGTTGTATGTTTGGGAATTTCTTGCATTCCGATCTCACCATTCGCCTGTTCTTGCCTTTCATCGTTAAATAAATACTGAAAGCAAGGATCATTAAGAAACAAATCTGGTTCAAAAGCTGCAAAAAACAGTACCTTTAATATAATACAATGTCTGACTATGAAGAAAACAAAAATACATCAAATGCAGAGTACATACAGATTATTAGCATCTGTGACAAGGATAAACCCTAGATTTACAGAACTTTAATCTCTGTAACACCAAAACAAAACAGTTATTTTTCACTACTTCAAAGTTCAAATGAATATAGAATGAGGTCTAAATATCAACACTTACAACTGGGCTACAACTCATATAAAATCAGTTCTTCTTTTTCACCACCAAAATCATGTGGTTGATCATTCGCACCATGTGTAATAATAGATGTTTGTAAGTCCATAATCACCAAATACCCTATATACTCTACAAAAATTCAAAAAATTATTGCTATAGAAATTGAATAAAAATAGAATGAAGAGAAGAGATTGACAGAGGAATGGTCATGTTACAAGGGTTGGCGCATCAGAGATATGAAGAGGAAGATAAGAAATAGAAGATATTACTATACCTGTCTTGTAGGAAGGAGAGCGCAGATCGTGCGGCTGGCTGGCGCGGAAGGGCAAAGCCAGAGGGAGGAAAGAAAAAAAGAAAAAAAAGGAGAAAAGGTAAAAAAAACACCTTACATAGGGAGGCAACAAAGGAAGCATATGTGGGTGCACTGTAGCACGGTCCATAGAGGAATAACGATTTTGGAGTTTGGGCATTTGTGTTTGCACTTACTTGGTGGAATATCTAAATTTGTTATTCTTAGCGCCAAATAGCATTGATACCCCTCGTGGTTTGTAAAATAAGCACCAATCCCCTCTCTGTTTTCAAAACTCATTTCTAAAGTTCCTGTGGTTTCAAAATGTTGCACCCGTGCCCCCTATGATCATTTTCCGGTCATTTTTCCGGCGAAGAAGGGGGGCATTGGTGCATATTTTTTCAACCATAGGGGGTATCAATGCCGATTTTTATTTCTCGCATATTTTTTGTTTTTTCCATTTTTTCCATTTTTTGTTTCATTTATTAATAAAGGTTTTTTTTAAAATTATTTTTATAATGTTCTTAAAATTTAAAGTTTTTTTTGTTTGAAAAAAATAACATATAATGCATATGTATTTCTCAAATTAACAATTTTTGTTTTTTCTGAAAAAAAGTAATTTTTTTAAGAACTTCAAAAAAATGAGGAATAAAATAAGAAACAAATTAATACAAAAATAAAAATGAATATTATTTTTAAAAATCACCCTAAATAGAACTAAAACATAGAGAAAAGTACCAAAATAGGACTTTCATGTTTTTTCCCCGAAATAGGACTTTGCACAGTGGTAATGTGACTTTGCATTGTGATAATATGACAGTGTACATGTGCACATTATTATACTTTTTTGGTAATGTATATGACCATGTTTGTTAATGTAAGTCCTATTTCGGGATTAAAAACATGGAAGTCCTATTTTGGTATATTTTCAATGTTTTAATCCTACTTTAGTCTTTCTTGGACATCTTAATTCTATGGACTTTTTTAGGCATGTCCAATTTTTTTGTATAAGACTTTTTTTTGCGTATTTTAATTTTTTTAATTTCATTTTTCCATATTTTTATTTTTTTATTCTTTGTTTTTTTGAACTTTCCAAAAAATTATTCTAAGTAACAAAGAGTGAAAATGTTTAATTTGAGATAGATGTAATATATGTTAATTTTTTTATTTTTATTTTCATTTCAAACACAAAGAATTTGAAAATATTTGAAACATTATAAAAAATTTAAAATATATTTGAAAAAATCTAGGAAAAGGAAAAAGAGAGAAAATATTTTTAAAAAGGGAAGAATAATAAACGAAAATAGGAAATGAGCACGAATGCCCCCTATGGTTTAAAAATTATGCGCCAATGCCCTCTGTTCGCCGGAAAATGGCCGGTAAATTATCAGAGGGGGTGTGAGTGCAACGTTTTGAAACCACGAGGACTTTTAAAATAAGTTTTGAAAACAGAGGGGGTATTGGTGCCAATTTTCCAAACCACAGGGGGTACCGGAGCTATTTGGCCGTACTTTAAATGATAGCAAGGCCGCAAGGGAATAGTCATATAATACTTCTTCCGTCCCGCAAAAAAGTTTCCCTTTCGTTTTTTTTCGTCCCAAAAAAAACTTTCCATTTGTCATTAAAAGTCCATTATACCCCTCCATCCCAAACCCTAACCAAATCTAAACTAACCCACCCCCCACCTGTTCTAATCTTCTTCTCTCATCTTCGCCTCTTCCAATTCCCAGACTTCCTCTCATCTTCTCCCCTCCTCTTCTTCTAGATCTAATCCCTAAATCTTTTCTCCTCTCTGAATCGATGAAAAGTTGGCGGCAGATGAGGAGATTTGGGGATGAGGAGATCTGGGGATCTGGATCTCTTCGGCGGCGGCGGCATTTTGTCCGATCTCTTCTGAATCTCTTCCCCTCCACCCACCAAATCTCTCCTCCCTTTTTCGATCTCTTCTAGATCTCTTCCCCTCCACCCACCAAATCCCTCCTCCCTTTTTCGATCTCTTCTAGATCTCTTCCCCTCCACCCACCAAATCCCTCCTCCCTTTTCCGATTTCTTCAGCGGCGGCGGCGTTCGACGCCTCCTTCGATGCCCTAACGGGGACGACCCCGCGGCGGAGGGAGGCGGGCCCTTGGGAACGGCGGCTGAGCCTCCGAAATATGCGGGTGTGATTGTCATGGAAGCCATGGATAGATCGGAGTGCTTTTTTCGTGGGGAGTGTTTGGGAGTGGAGATATTTGGGGGGTATTTTGGGCAAGTCAAAGCCAAAATATCCCCTCCTTATTTTGGGGGACTATTCCAAATGGGAAGTTTTATTTGGGACGGCGGGAGTATTTTTTTTCATTCTCCAATCATAACTTATTTTATTTTTAAATTATAGACTTATGATAATAGAATGAACATGTTATATTAAGCAAACTAAAGGCTTTTTTTAGCAAGCTTGTTAAAATATGTAACATATTCTTGTAGATAAAGA